CCCCAAAACCCCAAAACCCCTAAGTCATAAATTCTAATTGATTATAGATAAATTAAATATTGTTAAAATTAATTAATAAATCAAATGTAATCATCTTAACTTGAAAATAAATTTTGAAGTTAAAATTATTAAATCACTAACTAGTACAATATTAGAATTGAAAATTAATAAATACAGGCACAAATGTATATTGAAAGTTGCAATATATAATAAAATTATTCCACAAATAATGCAAAGGATAATTAGGATGTTTGTAACAGTGAAATATAAATCATAAGCAAATTAGATCCTTAAGAAGAAAACAAAAATGTTTCGTTTGATAAGAGAAAACTCGATTCAAAAATCTGCGGCATTTCTTTGAAGTCAAACAAGGATTCTATCGTAAATTTAAAGGAGACATTCTAACTAATTAAAGATAAAAATCCAATGAAGATAAGGTTAATCAAATAGGCAAACAAAATAGTTAAAGAAAGGAAAGATGCATATTTGAATTCATAACCAATGAATTTTAATCATTAGTAACATTGCTAATTAGAAAAAATGTCTGAAAATAAATATTAGATAGAAATTAATAATACAGAGGAAATGATAGAAAAAATTAGAAAAAATTTAAGTTAACAAATCCCAAGACTCAGAAGAAATGGAAATTCGATTCTATCTGACAATAGAGATAAAGAATATCTTTATATTAACCCAAGTATTGGAAAATAATATAAATCGTATGATGAAAATGGTCATCGCTATCTTAGAAGTGACATTTTATACAATTCAATAACAAGAGATATGAGGAGATTTTACATTTAGGACTTTAACGCAGTCACAGAATTTATCTTGGAGAAAAATAAAAAATGTGACGACCATTTTTTCATATAGTAAATATCCTGCTATTTAAAATATAGATTTCCAGAATTACACTCTAAATTTGAAGTTGAGGAATAGTCAATAAACTCAAATTTTAACCCAAATCCAAATAAATTAGTATATTTCTTTGGAAGCCTTATCTACAAAAAAAAAATATTAAAGTTTCTAGAATTATAATTTGAGTAAGTAAAAAAACATAACAAATCTGAATAAAGTGAGGATTGTAAATTAAAAATGAGTATGATTTAAGATTCAAGGCTGGATATGTATCATCTATCTCTTTAAAAATTTTCCCTTGAAAAATTATACAGCTTGATCCAGATAGATTTGTATGCCTATTTTTTCTGTTTTTATTTTCGCAGTCAGATCTAAAGATCCAACTTTCTTGAGAATAAGAAATATAATTTGAATGATACTAATGGAAGCCATTATCCGGCTTTTGTGATTGCTTATAATTTGATTCTTAATCTTTGCTAGCTAACCTTAATATCTGCAATAAGGAAAATAAATGGAGATTAATGTCAATTACAATTTTAAAGACGCATGATAAAATTTATTTAATTAGAACCTAAAAATATGATTTTATTTATAACAATACCTAAACAGCAGAAATAGATTTAGAAACGCTAATGTATAATAGCGAAAAATAGAATTCATAGAAAAAGATTTTCAAGTACTTAATTTGATGAATTGGAAAGTACTATAAATAAGAAGTATTGATTTATAATTATTAGACATTATTATTTGCCAACTAAATGCATAAAACTTTTAAATTAATACACCTTTTTTATAAATAGAGATTTGATATTAATATATTTAATTGTATTAGCTTGTGTAACATAAGTCACTTATTTATAAACATGGGGTTTTGGGGTTTTGGGGTTTTG